ATTTTTTTAATCTATTTTTTATGTCTCAAAATAATTATCGGGATTATTGTTTAAAGGAAGGAAATATATGACTAGCATCTTTCAAAGTTTCAAACCGCATAGTTGACAGTGTCTTCCACTTGACTAACCTCTTCAAGTTTTATATAAAAGTGAAAATAAAGTAATCTATCGCCATCAGGAAATTGTTGGAGATCGTTCATCAGAAAATTAATCTATGGGATGTGAAGAAAATATTTTAAAATTCGGACAAATTAACAAATTCGAAAATTAAACACGAAACCAATTCATGCACTAGTATTTCGTAAAGGGGTAAGTTAGTATAAAATGAAACTCAGTAAAATAATGGGTGGAGACCTGTAACACAAATTTGTTCCACTCCCGGACACAAATATTGTTGTGAAGCAAAACTTCGAGGAGATGGTAATTTTGTTTGGCGGGGCGACACGACGACAGTAATAGGGGATGAAGAACAATTTTTGAAGGATGGATTCTATTATGATGTATAAGCCGCTGTAGAGGCTTCAAAGCCCAAAGCTTCTGCCCTTCTAATTGAATTTTTGCGAATGTTTAGGGATTCTAAGGAGTAAACTTTCTGAGATTGCTTTTAATCTAGAGTGGGAAGTTGCATCAAATAGAGAAAAATTGATGGTTGTACAAACTTTAATTAGTCTATGGATCAGTTGTTTCTCTTTTGCATTTTCCGTTGGTAAATTCTTGTTTATTGCAAATTAAAGTTATGTTGGAGCATATTTTTGTCCAATGAGTATAACAGCAAATGTATCTGTGTTTGTTGAGTTAACAATTTTTTGGGCTCTTTCAAAATGAACACTTTTAGCCATATAAAGATACAAGCTAACCGAGATAAATTTGCAGAACCATAATAAGGTTTTCCGAGAGAAGCAACTAAATTCAACGGAGTTCTTTTTTTCTTGAAATTTCTTTTATCTTTATAACTACAAATTGAATATTAAAACCCTGTCATACTGGTATGTGCCACAAACGGCTTGATAAATCATGTAAAAGAAAAGTGCGGCGGAAATTGTAATTCGGGCTGGAGACATCGACATAGATGGTGACGGCAAAACACCAGGAACAGAAACCCATTTCTTAAAGTTTTTCTACACACCAATATTTGAAGTTCATACATCAATATTGTCAAGAATGGATCTATGTCTCCTGTGATTTACAACTTTGGCTTCTTCTCCGGGAAAAATTGAGAACTTAAAAGAGATGTGGGAGAGAAGCCACTTTCTACCTTTTCGTTTTCTTATTTCTGTCCAAATTAACCATGGTTGCTACTCAAGTTTGGTAAGTGGAGGTTGGAAGAAAAAGAAGAGACACGTGTCGGATACTGAGTAAATGTCACAGGGAGTTGCATAAATTTGTGTACCTAAAATAATATACTCACAAGCCAGGAGTGGAAGGCGGAGAGGGAACCCGTTGTGCCTCAATTATACAAAACAGAAGCGAGAACAATAACATTTTTTTCTTTTTACAAAAAATAAAATTAAATTAAATGCTCAGGAAAACTTGAACCATTTATCTAGTGATAATTATTATCTCCATCTTAATTCCTTAATCATCCACTCAATCTTCTCACCCCTCCAAAACGATGACATCATCAAGATGAAAGAATGAAAAATTCTTAAGACTGCTGTTGGAGACATTTTAATTGGAAAAGAATCAGTCGCCCAAGCTTATAAACACGGTGACACTATCCTATAACATCTGAATTTTCTTCAATGAAACAGTAGTAACAGAAGCACCATCATATTGAATTGGTCAATTGGATAAATGCAACTGGCATGGTACTTAGTTTTATAAGTGGGAGTATTGTCAAACTTGTAGCCAAAATTAGTCAAGGCTCAAGCCCCTATTTCCACTTCCTATACTTGAAGTATCCCACAAATCATCACGCAATAAAACCATCGTCTTTGCCCAATGGACGGTAGGCACCTTACAAGTATACCTTAAGCGGATGATCACTGTTATTGGCAAATACCGGGGGGAAAATAGCTTCTCCTTTCAATGTAGATAGTGAGAGATTGAAATATATCAGTATCATATGTTGTTATCGTTTGATCCAATTGTTTTATAAAGTGAAAAGAAACGAGGTAGAGAAATTTAATCATGTAATATTAATATTAGTTAGTGTTGTTAGGATCTTCATCTCTATCCCAATACTCCTCAAACCCAATGTATAACCCCAAATGAGGTTCCACTCTAAAACTAATTGGTATAGAGAGAGTAACCCACTAGTCTTATATATTGAGTTTGGAACTCTCCCACTACCGATATGGGATTAGGTTTACACCCAACAAACCACCCCTCAAACACAAGACCACACACTTGGGCCTCTCCTTCAACGACAATCCAACTTGTACCGCCGCTATCACCCGCGGAACACGCCTCCTGACCATCACCTGTCAGGAAGACTTTCGACACAAGGCCCATAACTAGGCACGGCTCTATTCCTTGAGTCCACGAGTCATTGCAAGGTCAAACTGGAAGAACACGTCCCGCTATCCATACATCAATTGGGCTAGAACCGTGGCTCTTATACCAGTTGTTAGGATCCTCCTTCCCTAGCCCAACACTCCTCAAGCCCAATACATAAGCCTAAATGAGGTTCCACTTTAAAACCAATTGGCAATAGAGGAATAACCCACTAAGTTTATATATTGAGCTTGGAACTCTCCGACCACTGATGTGGAATTGGGTTTGCACCCAACAATTAGTTCTCCAACAAAAAAAAAAAAGAAAAGAAAATCAATATTTTGATAATCGGATCGAATTATATACGAATAGATGAAGTTATTTAATTGTAGATAGATTTTTAGATAGTCTCCAACTTATTTGACAGTAATTCGTTCTCCAACTAAAACACATTATTTCACACCAAAATAGAACACTTTGATATATTTCATTTTAGCCCTCTTTTCTATATGTTTTTACGAAGAAAAGAAGGGAGGGGTGTGAAATGAAAATGTACCCTTTCTCCTTCAACTTTCATGAAAATTTATGGATAGATTTAAACATTTAGCAAATTTAGCAGGTTTCACTATGTTAAAAACATCAAGATAGAGAGATTGCATGTTAGAGAAAAGTTGGAATCTACTCCCTTTCATTCATGCCTATTGTGCTGAAATGAAAGATAAAACTTTAATGTGGTGAAATGTACATCAATCTTGCATTTGATTGTTTTAAGACTAAATTTTGAAAAAGGTTGTTTATATTAAGCCAAATGCATATTTTGATCGTTTATATTAACATTTGGCTAAAGTGTCATCTACATTTCAAAATATAAGTTTTTTGTCCTTTGATATTATTCATACACTTTGACCAGATTTAGTATTAAGTCAACAAGAATATTTTTGGAATAAAATTTTTTAATTTTAAAATCTATTTATTGAATAAAATATCAATATAAATAAAATAATTACATTAAAAAGTTGAGAATTTATAAATTAATTTCTTAGACTAAAATTTAAAATAATAAAAAAATTATACCTTTTTGCAAAAAATTTATATTATTTTAAACTTGGAAGTCTTGGAATTAAGTAAAAATGCTGCTCTCATGACAATCTCTAACATTCAAAAAAGAATTATATAAAATTTAAGATTGAACTCAAATCTAATTTCTTATTCTGAATATTTTTTAAATTATAAAATTGTAGAGAATTAGATATACGTAGTAGGTTCCTCAAAAAGGAAAAAAAAATTCATCTTCAGTATTAGACTTCCTAACTACAAATCGGAAAAAATGCTATTTACTAAATATTATTCATACATCAAAGAGTAATTATTTAGGTTTTTCCATGCCAAATAATGTAATATCTAATTATTAAAATAATATTATATTATCAAAAAAATCCAAAAATAAAATTAAGAATATATTTTAAAAAACATGTTTTTTGATTTTTTTTAAAGACTAAATTCTAAATTTCCGATTTTTATCTTTTTAATCTAATATTTCATTAAAAATTAACTCTAAATATTATGTAATTGTAAACAATTGTAAATATTAGTAATTTTTTTTCATGGCTATACTATATATATCTAGTTCCCTACAATTTCATAAGTTAAAAAAAAATCTAAAATAAGAAATAAGATTTGAGTATAACCCTAAATTTTAAATTAATTTTTTTTATGTTAGAGATTGTTATGAGAATAATATTTTTACTTTGTTCCAAACCATCCATATTAAAAATAATATAAAATTTGCACAAAAAGTACAATTTTTTATTTTTTAATCTTATATTAAGAAATAAAATTTTTATTTTTGTATTTTGTTTGGTATCTAATTTAAAACCTTTTTTGTTTGGTATCAATATAAAAAAATTTTAAACAATGTTAAAAGACAAAAAAAGTTACATTCTAAAATGTAAAAGAACCATTCTATCCAAATGTTAATGTAAAGGACCAAAATGTGTATTTGACCTAATGTAGATAACCATTTTTAGAATTTAGTCTTGTTTTAATCTTAAGAAAGCAAAGTAAACAATGTTAGATATTTGCTTGTTTGATCCAATAATTATTTATTCTTCACGAATATACATTATACATGTAACCCAAATTTTTTTTTGTTTTTGTACCCGGCCGTCTCATTCAATTCAACTTTTACTTCGACTTATTTAGTTTTCACTTAATAACAGTTTGTACAAACACGTAAAGAATAGTAACAAATTTATAATCACAGTTTAATAAATGAAAAATAGTAACATAAGCAAATTCAAAACCAGTAAGCAATAACAATTAAAAGATTTTTACAGTTTGCCCTAATATAAGGGACTATATATACGTGCAATAGGGAAGAGTCTAAATTATAAATTTCCCTTGCTTTGCACACAAGAAACCATTGGTACATATATATGTTTGTTAGACCAATTAAAAAAAAAAGGAAAAAAAAAAAAACAATCGCCTGCCCTTGTTTTTCGGGTTGCTGATTCTTCGTCTCTTTAAGTAGGTTTTCACAATTCTCTTCTCCATTTGCTCCTCTAATGGCGGAGCCAATGTCATTGAAATTGGCAAGAATAGTTTCTTTGGGGATTATTGGAACTCTAGGTTTTAACAGTTACAAACTACGCAAAGAGCATGCGCAGTTGGAAGTAGCTATTGGAAAAATCGATGAAAAGGTGTCGTATGTGATGAATCATCACAAATTATTGGCTGAATGGCTTGGGAATCACAAGGTTATCTGTGAAGACCTCAAGGAGGTTGATCAATGGATCTACAAGACGGAGGAAGAATCTATCAAGGAGAAGGAAGCACGCAAGATGAAGGAGAACGAAAAGAAGGAGGACGGGAAGAAGTGAGAAATAGATCGACCAAGTTCGGCTTAATTATATTTGATGGGGTTGATTTGTTTTTTAATCTTTAATTTCTTATTATGTAGTATTTGTTTATGCTGTTTTTCTTCTTTTTTTTTTCAATTAAAATTTTCTCATTCAGTTTTGCGTAGATTTGGTTGGTTGTTGAAAAATAATCCCTAGTATGATGATAGTTTTCAAAGTAGATCGTTTGGAAACTAAAATATCTCCTCTAAAACTATGTGATAGAATTATCAGTCTGTCTAACAAATAATTTATGTGATGAGAGTTTAGAGATTCACCGAAAAAAAAAATTATCCTTTAATTATAATAAAGTAAATAAACTAATCTTCTTAGACGCTTGTCAATTGATTAGATTTGGCAAAGAATTTTGTTAAAGTGAATGATATGTGTTACGGAAGATTCGGATGATCCCCAAAGAATTCGACTGTTAAAGTGGTAATTGCGAATTTGCGAATACGTATATTAAATTTCACCGCAATTTATGCATGTATAAACACCAAACACTAGTCTCAATTTGTGCATATAGAGTCTCAATGAAAGCATTACATGATACTCCCTCATGTCCTTAATATAAAACATTTTGATTTGTCATAGATTTAACCTAGTACACATTTTTAATCTAAAAAAAACTTTAAAAATAGATCATAACAATCAAGAGAACGCAACTAATGTGAAAATATATTTTTAAAGTTTTTTCGTCAATTAAAAATGTGTACTATGTGAAATTTAAAAAAAAATCAAAATGCCTTATAATAAGAACAGGAGGGAGTACTAGTTTAGGTCCTAGCTGACAATATCATTAACAAACATGATTTTTTCGGAAACACTATTACAATATAACATACCACTGTTTTTTGTGTCTTCCAAATTCTTTTTTCCAAACATTAAATAAGCATACGAATCGAAACTTCAGCCACACGTTTATGCTAAATTTGATACGTCACGATGAATCTCAAAGTTATTTCGGTCCTGGTGGTGAGGGATGAGGAGGTACCCTGTTTTACCAAAAAAAAAAAAAAAGAAAGAAAAACACTTTAGTTTAAAAGTAGTAATCACATCCAAGGGGAAAAAATACATGAAATAATGCAATAAGAAAGAAATTACTATTCAAATATCTTTAAAAAATTTATCAAAACATAAAAAAAAATTGTTATTTGAACAGCATTATTCCCTACTAGTTTTCCTTATGAATAACTCTAGTTAGAATAGATATTACATTTAATTAAAAAAAATACAAGTAAAGGTTATGAACTACATTAGCAATAAAGTGTTAGATTTATAAGTTACAGAATGATATGTAATTAATTACAAATAAATCCAACCTGTTCATAATTATTTATGATTGAAATGTAAAAGTTAATGAAAATGAAGACAACAGACCTTCCTAAAAATAAATTGGATATGCATGGAATATTTGTGTACGCATAATACGGACATAATAATGATACATACAAGGAATAATTTACAAGAAAAAATAATAGTGAATAAATTATATCTTATCTATTTTTACACTGTTCATTTGAGATTCATGCATTTAAGGTTAAGGAAATAATTTAAATTATAGACAAATTAACCCTTGAAAATTTCCCTACTCTTCATACAAATAATGAGGTAATTGAGTACACAACACATTCAGATTAATGTTCGTTTGATTCAGATAGGTATATATGTATGTGATGTGAATCAATAAACTAAAGATTTTTCATCCGAAAAAAAAAGAAGAAAAAGAATACTCACTTTAATGTTTGAGGTCCATTAGGATGAAATTGCGGAGGAGGAAGAACGAGAGGGGGGCGGCGGGGAATAACCAGTATTTCAGTGTCACCCTGTGATGATGATGATGCAGCATCAGCTGTGCTAAACAGAAGCATGATCCCAGAGATCATGATCAAGAAGATTCTGGCAACTCTAAAAGCTGCAGCTGCTCGAGCCATGTTGATCTTTTTGTCGTAATTTTTATTTTTCACTTGATAGAGAGAGTTGTGCTTTTCCAAATTAAGCAGTCCCAAAGCTTCTCTTTTTATACACAGATCGCCACTAATTGTCAGAAGTCAATAAATCAATGTCTTCTCTATTGTACGTTGACAATTAGGTTAAACAAAACATGTGCCCTAGTTCCAAATTAGTGTGACAGTAATTGATGTACACGTAAATAATTTGTTTTGTTGTGTTCATATGTTGTATTTTAATAGATGTACTTTAGAATTTTGTAGATCACGGTAGGTTGAGAATGAGAAGACGGATCGATCTTACTTGTCAAGATGAATTTTAGGTAATTGTTTACTATTGTTTATTTATTTTCCGTATGACCAATTAAATTTAGACCAGAAACTATCTAGGCTCCTTTTGTTTATTTATTTATTTATGGAATGTTACATTGATAAGTATTACTCCCTCCATTTCAAAATAAGTGTCGTCCTACATTTTACACATAGTTTAAGAAACTCTTAAATAAGGTAATAAAATTACTTGAGTAACATTAACCAACCCCATTAAAAAAATGTCCACCAATAGTATTAATTTTTTGGGGCTAATTTTAGATAAAAAGTGCATTGAAACGTGAGAACGACACTTATTTTGAAATTTTTTCATTTTGCTAAAACGACACTTATTTTGGAACAGAAGAAGTAGTTCACACTTGACGGTTACAACGTACAACTGCTATAATTTTGTTCTCAGTCACTACTTTCCGAGAAATTATTCATCTCAACCACTGCATTATATTTGTTTATGCAAGTGTTCGATAAACTGGAATTCGTAATTTTATGTCTGGGTGGATAACATGTAGATTGACTTGTAATATATGAAAGAGTTGCATGCACATATTACATAGTAATGTATGAAAATTTAAGTTTATATTTTACATCTCTATCCCGAAATTATTTTCTAATTTGGAATGTTATTTGTAGTCTAAATTGAATTAAAATGAAACTTCAAATTGGATAATATAATTTCAAGATAGAAGGAATATATTTAATGTATTCATTCATAAATATTATTGCGAACGAGTCATGTATCTGGTGGAAGAAGAATACGTGTACTATATAGAGTAAATGAACGAAATTCACTTGACTTAGTAAAGTCTTCCACTTTTCGTAGTCTACTTGATGAAATACCTAATTCTGACAATTGATTTTGTGAATTCAACTTTAGTTTTATACTCTAAGCTCCACCCAAAAATAAGGGTTCGTTTTGGTATATGGGTGTAATTTAATAAAGTATATTGACTGTAATAATGGGATGAAAAATGAACCTTGAGGTTTAAAAAGGCTCGATCAACTCCAGTTTTCATCGTGATGATATCAAAGATTTGGGTGTCCCGTCCTTTAGATTAATTAAGTGTTCAGACTTCTAAATTCAACAGGCCAACTACTTCCTTTTAGACACATTCAAATTTTTGGAGAAAATGTCATTTAGGTATAATGTTTAAGGCAAACAGATTTTTTTTAATTAATGTACACAACATCAGGATCTATCAAATCACCTACCAACGGGTCAACTGTTTCTAGTCACGCATTTATTAAAAATTTGTACTCTTTGAGGGTGTGACTAAAAGATACACAAGATAGCATCAACTATGTTGTTTAAGGAGTATGAGCAAAACCATCCATGTTTACTTTGCATTAATGTTCGCACTTATCCGTATTTTCATGGCAGTCGTTGTTTTTCGAGTTCCACCAACACTTAAAACCCTAGTTGCCATGTCAGTTGTTAGGTCTTGAAATGCATCCCACAATTCCATTTCTCGGCTTTGCTGGCGAAACCCTCGAGCCAATTATAAGTGCATAACAAAGTTTAAGCCATTAGTTATTCGCTGGAGTCTGGAGAGATACTGTTAGCAGTATAGCCCTTTTGAGTTGAACGATGTGGTTTAGATTTCGAATGGATCAGTTTAGCTAATTGAAATTGCATGGTTGTGACTTGTGATGAGATGGTTGAGGTTTTGTTTAGATAAACGGTGCAAATGAGCTGGTACTATTAATAATTGTACTTAATTAGCAGTTTAAAAGATTCAGTCGGTTAATGAATTTGCTGATTCCTTCTCATTTCTTCTACTCTGTTCTCTCTTTCCTTAATTCTCTCTGAATCTCCCTCTTTCTCTCAATTGGGGAAGTAATTCTCATCATGGCAGCATCGATTTACCAGAATCTGATCAACATGATTGGTTGCGGAAATGAATTAGAAGCGATTAGAATAGCACTTCTGGAAGCACAGGAAAGAAGGAAAGGTAGTATTAAAGTGTAAGTAGATGCGAAAGCTATGGTTATTGGTTATAAGGGCATTCTAACCCTTTTTCAGAAGTAGTAAATTTCTGTTTTTCAGAAAACAATAGAACTCTAGTTAGTAGTTGTCACAATTTGGCTAAGTTAGAGTTTATCTAACAATGTATACAATATTGGAATAACAATGTTCCTTTATAGCTAGATGAGACTCTTAAAATCGATTGTAATATCTTCGTTTATTTTACTTTGGAAATGAATATCGTTTCTAACCCCAAAAAAGAAAAAAAAAACGATAAAAAAAATCTGAACTGGATCCTCAAACTAGGGTTACTCCTAACAGAAACCCATGTAGTTCAATTCTTGCAATTTTGCTAACTTAGTTTTACAGGATATGGTTTCCTTGAGCACTTAAAAATTTCGATCTTCCGGCTAGCCCATTTTTGTAAGCCGGAAAATTTGTTGTAAAGATTACTCTGTATCTTCTTTTTTTCTTTCTGAAAAGTACTTTGTATCTTTGAGAAAGAAGAAAAGGCTAATTTTATTTTGGAAGAAACTCTTTTTGAGTTACCTCGATGAGCTATCAAATTCGGGCGTTTATGTGCGGCAACACGCCCTCCGGTTTTAATTTTGTAATAGTTAATGTATAATTACTAGGTAAAAAAATTTTACTGCGTTCATTTTCGCATCTCCTCTAAAAATTTATGATAATAGTAATAATTATTTTAATTAAATAGTTTATGTCCAAAAATTCATAACCATATGTTTTATATTCAATATTTGTAAATTAAATCTTAAGTAAAACTATTAAATAGCCAAACTTTGCATAAAAATATTGTCAATCCTATTTTTCTAAATGATGATGCAAATTTCATGAAAAACAAATAAAAAGGCTGTAAAGCAAGGCCCAAATCAAATATTTGATAATGAAGTTAAGACCCAAATCTATACAAAATAAAAGTATGTCACACCCCTTGGGCTAAATTGTAAGAAATAGGAAGTATAAGGTCTTGTTAGTATTTTCTGTAATCTGTGGACTATAAATAGTCTACAAAGGGTTGGAATTGAATTATCGAAAGGTATTGTATTGAATTGAAAAATTTATCTCTCTCTCCTTCTTCCCCATTCTCCCCCAAATCCAACCCTAATTTCCTCCGGCCACTTCTAAATTCTCTGATTCGGCCTTTCCGGCCATTTCTCTGGCCTCCGGTCGTGACAAAGTCTAAGGGTTTATCATAGTCTAAAACTTCAACAGAAAACTTAAAATGGTTAAATATATCCACCCGTAAATTTCTTGATTGTTCAACAAGAAGAAGGATCATTTCAAGTGAATTTCATTAATAATTTGGTTTTATCTTGTAATGAATACAATAGAAGTATTTATTTTTCTTTCGTCCTTATATAGAAAATTTTCAAATTTATTATTTTTTGTTCCAAAATTGCCCCATACTAAAAACATTTTTAAAAAATAAATTTAAACCTCATAGCTAGGTCGTAATATTATCTTATGACTTCTAGTTTCAAAATGAGCGTAAAGCATTAATGAAGTGGTTCTAAATAATATGAAATAGATTTTTAAAGAGGAAAAAAAATGTATTCTAGTATATATACACTTTTGGCACTGAATATTTATTTCCAGTATTTTCTACTCTTGCTCCGATGAGTTTCATTTTGCACCTCCTAGTCCAAAATATCCTAGTATCGCAAAAACCCACGAGGGTGCATTGCATTGCCAAAGAATACCATTAATGGTGTTCCCCTGAAGTTCAGCTACTGTGTCAGCTAGTGTTATCAGAGTAAGGGCCTAGGAGACTTCACGTAAAGAGTTGAGTTTTCCCTGATAATCTCTAAACTTCGGGAACAGGAACTCATTTCTCATAACAATGATATAGACGTCTAGGGTTATCAAGCTATGTGGCCAGCTTGGTGTGCCACAAAACCTGATGATGGTAAGCCAAAAACATCAGTTAACTTCTCAAGTGTCTGGTCGTATTCAAGTATTGATTCCTTCAGCAAATACTTGATGTCCATATTATTGGGACAAGACTCGTTGATCAACTGAATGTATTCTTCTTGAATCTCTGCACTGGATACAGATTGTTCAAAATGTATAACTAATGATGGCTAGTTATACTATTCACGTGGATCTTTAATCTTTCCAGATAAGCCTTTTTAAATTCCTTGAGAATATTTTCACTAACTTGAAGTCTAAGCAAATTGATCATTTATTACGATTTTAGAAATTCGCACCAATAATTTGAAAAGGATGTAGGATTCTAATTTTCAAGATATTTGGTAAAGTCTGTGAACTCTAGGTAGTGAGATAAAAAGTGAAGAATTTTATTTTGAGAATAAAAGAGGAAAAAAAATTGTGTTTTTTTTCTAACCAACAAAAGGGCATAATCCTATAATTCATTAACTAAATGATGAATGATCATGGAGACTGGAGAGAATGAAATTGGAGAATGAAACAAAAACAAGAATCACATTTAAAAAAGAAAGATCAATACATAATTTTGTTTTTACAATGGACAACAATGTAACATATGTTTCATTCTTGACCTTACGACCTAGAGAGCAATAAGCCATGGCTCAACTACAGGAAGACCACACTTGGAACTAGATTTGTCTGTAGACAAGACTCTTCTGTGGCATCTCCAATTAACAACCTCATATTCAAACAATTTTGTAGTCTGCTACTTTTCTGTCTCAAAATCTTTTCCAAACATCCACCGTTCCTCTGTGAACTTGATAGTGGGAACATCCCAATTTGCAAATTTGATTCAAAGTT